TACTCTTAACGGCCATGTTTCGCATCCATATAGGAGAACGGAGCGAGTTGCTGCGCAGTACACTCGACCTTTGTTTAGCCAGCGGATATCTCGCCTGAGTCATAGGTGTCGCAAGTTGGCCAAAGCCAATCGAGCTTTCCGTATCCGTGCCGAGATTTCGTCAGTTAGCAGGCCATCAGCACTGATGAGACTGCCGAGATACGTGAAGCAGTCTACACACTCGACTACTTCACTCCCTATCACTAGTTCAGGTACCGACGCAAGCCGATCTTGAAGCAACATTTTGCATTTCGATGGGGAAGACCGCATCGCGAATATGCTTGCATTGTTGCTTAGGGTGGTCAGAATACTCTGCATTTCGTCAGCGTCTTCATCAAATAGAACTATCTTATCCGCATATTCTAGGTCAATAAGCGATCCTCCTGGTAGAAGGTTCACCCGTGAAAAATCTGATGAGGATGATGTTAACTCTAAAAGCATGTCTACGACAAAGTTAAACAAGAAGGGAGAGAGTGGACATTCCTGACGTATACCACTTGAAGTAAAGAATTCCGGTGACAGTTGGCCATAAGCTCTAACTCAACCTGTAGTGTTCGAGTAGAGGACCCGTATAAGGTTTATGTACTTCTTTGGTACACCTTTTAATGACAGACACTGCCACAAAACTTCACGATCCACAGAGTCAAATGGCGCTTTTAGGTCCAGGAACACAACTATTGTCGGACGTCTAAATGCGTGTCTGTGTTCCAGGACCTGTCGTAGTGTGAAAATGTGGTCTATACATCCACGTCCAGGTCGAAAACTAGACTGGTTTTCTTGAGTCTGCTCTTCACGAGCTCTAGTTAGACGTCTAAGTATAATGGAAGCTAACAATTTAGAAACTATATCAGTTAGACTTATTCCCCTTGTAATTGTCACAAGATGAGTTTTGTCCTTTCCTATAAATTGAGCCAATCAGGGATTGAGACCAGTCGGATGGGATGACTTCCAGTTCCCAGATTCTACCTAGGATCTCGGTCAGTCTGACTGTTAAAACTGGACCACCATCCTTAAACATCTCTTGGGTAAGCATATCAGGACCTGCTGCCCCCCTTCGCTTTAGATTTCCTATAGCCTTTTCAACTTCCTAACGGTTCGGAGGGCTTAAATCGATTTGCTATTCAGGATGACTGGGGATCGCGGGTAGCCGAAGTGTGGCTGAAGGCCAGTTGAATTGATCCCTAAAGTGTTCTGCTCATCGATTCAATCTCCTGGATTGAGAATGGATAATGCAACCATACTTTTCCGAGATAGTCGCGCTTACAGTAGGATTCCTATTACCAGTTTCCTTGATAAGTCGAAGTTGTCTACTGTCGTCTATCGCCGCTGCCTTTTCCGGCGCTTTTGCTTTCGCCCCCCACCACTGTTCGCGGTCGTTGCGTAGGCTTTTTATCAACCCGCGCTTAAGCTGACTTCGCTCTTAATCGCATTCAGAGCCAGGTAGGATGAGTTTTTGAGCATCCATCAGTTCAGTAGATGCTACTGAGATCCACGGCTTCAGTCTAGCCCTATGGTTTACCTTGCCAGCAGATATCACTGCTGTTTCCATAGCCTGTTTGATATCATTCCAAGCTGCCTCCAGATGGGAATTGCCTACATGGTTGCCTAACTGTTTTTCTAGTTCCTCTTGAAATATTTTCTTAGCTTGATTATCATCAAGTAAAGCATTAAGAGGCTTCCTTACAGTGTCTTTCCTAAGTCCAGTAAGCCTCAACCAAATACGCGCTCGCACTAGGGCATGATCTGAATTTAAACATGTGCCCCAGAACGAGCAGCAGACCTCTATCGAATCCTTCCATCGGTGGCTGATGGTAATGTGATCTAGTTGGGTCCAACGTTGAGACGACTTTGGGGTCATCAGGTCAAAAGATGTTTTTCCTTGTGCCTAAAGTTAGTGTTTGCTAGAAATAGGCGGTCAAATGAGCATACTTGCAACAGACGGTCACGATTGTCTGTTCTCTGAGCCGCGACACCATAACATCCACCTAGATGTCTTTCATTTTCAATCAGTCTACCTACTTGAGCAGTAAAGTCACCAGTCATTATCACTATATTAGAGTGCCTAACATTATAGAGGAGGTCCGAAAGCTTTCTTTAAAACTCATCTTTCACCTCGTGTGAAATGCAGTCAGTGGGAGCGTAGGTAGATACGATGAAGAGGCAACGGCGTGTTGCTATCTTTCCGAGACCTTACTGTTCCGTTCAGTCGGACAGTGCACGAGCGACTTTCTACTGGAATCCAGTCTAGAAGAGGTAGTTCTTCCCTATGACTCAGTGCTATACCTACACCAGCGAGACCCCGGGAAGCAGCATCAGGGCTTCCAGATACACGAAGAGTAAATCAAGCTGCTTCTTTATTTTGACAAGGTAAAGTTAAATTAGTGATTTTACTGGGATCCTGTATGCGCGTTTCCGAGACGCAGCATACATTGATGGTGCGAGATTCTAGAGTCCTAGCTAATGAAGCCTGTTGACACAATGTTCGTACAATGAATGCTGCAACATGTAGTCTAGAACGGGGTTTCAGGAGACCAGAAATGACGTTTCGTGAACTCGCATCATTTGGATTAGCGGTGCAGTGAGATGAAGGAATGTGAGTACAGTTAGTCGTGAAGATAAGAGAGATATTAGGGGGTGTAGGAAGGATATGATTTTGACCACTTTGATCTCGCTTGGTGTTACGGGTATGAGGGCTGTTGTCACTTCCCAGCTGACCCACACCGTGGAAGGTTGTTTCTTGAGGAACCTGAAAAGTAAGGTAGATTAGTGTCGGTCTTAGAGACCTGGGAGCGTGAACACAGAGCGCAAGGGACAACTGCTTGAGGCCGGTCACACACTGCATTTTTATGAAGGGTTTTTTGAGTGTTAGCTCCGCCGTTTTTAAAGCCCTTAGTGGGCAGCCTTGAATAACCTTGTAAATCATTTGACGTTAATCGATGTACATAAGAAACCTTTTTGGAGTAATTTGAAGTCTATAAATTATTCTTCTTATAGATTCAAGGGATAGGTTCATAGAAAACATGTTTCCTACTTTTTCTCTCGAATTTGTACCATTGTTAATAATGGGTTTAATTCTATTAATTCTTCAACAAAGTTGAGGATCGCCTCATTGATTTTCTTGTTTTATATAACCTTATAACATTTGCAGCGGCCCGGTAATTCACGTGCACAAGAAATGCCGCATCTTTAACACTGTATCCATCTTCACTAACCTTTTTTATGAGGTTTTTTCATTTGAAATCAAATTGTTTTTCCTCTTCATTTCTGACATTTTAAGGATGATAAAAAATTAAAAAAACGCTGTGAAAATTTAAAAAATGAGTTGGAATACTATACCATCCTTACCAAGTACCCGTTTCCTGACAACTGCATAGCTTACTCGATTGTCATAGGATATACAAGTAGTGCTTCGAAGACACCTATGATCGAATACTAGTAGCCGAAGAATATATTCTATTCTTAGTGAGATTAGAGGATAATCGTATGTTATTAGTATTCGATCACAGATGTCTGGTACGATTGCTCATGTATCCTTGGACAACCGAGTAAGTAATGCTGTCGTTAGGAAACGAGTACTAGGTAGGGATGGCAAATCCATAGATGAAGCATTGAAACTTCATCAGTTGAGGTGGTTGGGACATGTGTTACGTATACCTAACCACCGACTGCCTTGACGAGCGATGTTTTGCGGTGTTAGAGTAGGTTGGAAGAAGTCACTGAGAAGTGAACTGCGTCATGTTGGTAGATGTAGACAACCTGGTTGGGGTCCGCGAGATTATAGTAACTGATGGTTAGAGCCTGTGGATGACGTAATGGCGTAGCTGAATCCACTCTTTGTGTCCTCTTAACTCCTAATCCTCTGGATTCTACATCACCTTCATCCTCATCGTTCACCTTCACTAAATTATACTTGTTGAATAATATCTTCAAACCCTAATCTTCTCCATAACTGCTAATACTTCTACTGTCTCAGCCACTACGGGATTTGAACTGACAGTTGCGTCTCTATGCAATGTGGTTTGGCAACTGGAACTGATGTACGTACGTACGAAGTTCTACTTTGTAGCCGACTGTCTGTTACACACCCGTATAGTAGGACGGAGTGAAGTGCTGTGGAGTAAAATCGTCCTTTGATTGGTAGAGGAATATCTCGTCTACGCAATAGGTGAGTCAAGTTGGCAGAAGCTTGTCGAGGTTTCTTTATCCGTGCTGAGATTTCATCGGACACCATGACATCACGTCTGATGAGATTCCCAATATAGTTGAAGAGGTTAACACGCACAACTACCTCACTCCCTATCACTAGTTCATGTGCCAATTCAAGCCAGTCCTGAAGTAACATTTTTTATTTAGAGCGCACTGTTGCATACCAAACATGCTTGCATCATTGCTTTAGGTGGTCAGAAGACTGCCTTTTGTCAGCATTTCAAACTAAACTACTTCATCTGCATATTCTAATTCAACATGTGAATCTCCTGGAAGAAGGTTAACTGCTGAAAAGTCAGACAATGCATATGGACCTGCGTTTTTTCGCCGTTGAACTAACTTAAGTATCAGTTATACAAAACTACGTATACCTCAGCTACGCTGTATCTTTTATTTACAGATATAATCCGCGTAACACTTTCTCAAATATAAAAGCTAATCAAGAACTTCCTTAAAATCTTTTGGGTTCTCGACCTCATTTACTCAATATGAACTATATTAATTCAACTTTTAATTTCTTCTGGTATTGTCTCTTGCTAAACTTTAACTCCCTAATTTTTTCTGAGTTGACATGATATATGACAACGTGAACCGTTACACATTCGTCCTGAGTCATGCGTTGTTATTGGCTGACCGCTCTCCCATTCTCACTTCCTGACTGCATAATTGTACATATTAATAATGTAACCGGTATTTCTGTTGAAGTGAATTTGAAAATTTCTCCTTCTGTTTTTAACTAATTTCTCTCTGTTTAGTCACTATCTTGTGTCAGAAAACAGAAGTCCTGTCCGTTGTTCCCTTTGAAATCTCCTGAAGTGATTACTCGAGAAGTTGTTGTACTAGTCAAAGAGACTCCTGAAAATACTAATCGTATGACACGAAAGTGTTCACACTGTGAGTTATTTGTTGTACTGTATCTACCCTATAATCTGTGTTATGTCTAATAATGAGAGAGGATAAGCTCATCTATTTCACTTTGTTATGAATTTTCAACTGAAGGAAGTAAACATTAACATAAATAAGCTGGAGCAGATCATGTTCTTCTTTAACTGGTACTCACAGAGTTTTTTTTTTCTTTTATTAGATAATCCTACGGTTAATGGCTTGTTTGAACAATTACCTGGATGCAATGAAGATGCACTGACAATTAAAAAATAATATTTTATGATTTATATTTTTTTTATTCTGAACATTTGTATGAATTTATACTTACCTGTGATTTTTCAATAAATAGGTCATCTTTTATCAAATTACGTCGTATAGATTTTAAAATTTTAAAGATTGTACTACTCAAATCAATTTGGTAGGTTTTGTTGGTGTTGTTTAGGAAGTATCGCATTCCTTTTCTGTGTCTAAATTGAATGATCTCAGTTGCGTTTCCGACTTTGAAATCAGTTAATTCGACTAAGTGCTAACTGAGTGTTAGGATTTGCCGTTTAGCCTGTGCTTGTGTTTCTGTTTGTATAAAATCTGTTTATATTAAAAATAGGTTTTATCAAGTAATTGCGTACATGTATTGTACACAATTTTTATTATTGTAATCATGAATCAATCATTTCTAGACCACCATTAGAAACCTGGAAGCATGTGCTACTTTTACACGCCATAACCTAGTATTATAATCTTTTTATTACATCATCATGTTTATTCACTGATCATGTCCTCACAGGGTTAATAATACTTGAAACATTTCGTGTATATAAACAATATATATATTGTTTATGTAATAACAATGAGAAATTGTGTGTGCGCATAAAAACCTTTTGAAATAAAAACTTTACAACAAGTTATATGTATACAAATTTCTCTAGTATCAATGTGAGGACACAAAATCAGTGAATGAACATGGTGATGTAATAAAGAGATTATAATACTAGATTATATTGTGTGAATAATAACAGTGAAAAATTATGTGTAAAGAAAACCTTGTAGAATTATCAATTAACAACAGATTATCATATGCATGTTGTTTTCGTTACCTCAATTGACGGTAATAGAGAGGGTGTTAAATGAAATAGGTTGGTGTCAGAAACGATTGTGGATAAAATCATCGGGAGATAGTTTCAGATACCAAATAAAATAATAGTAATAATAATAGTTATAGACCATGGTAATGCTAAGTATAAGACGTACTTGTTTTGTGCACACAGTTCTAATTTCATTTCATGGGATGGTAAGGGCTTCTGCAGTTTTAAGGAGTTGGATACAAAAATCTAGTTAAATTGAGACGAATTCTACCGCCTTAGATAGCCACTTTCATGTGACGTTTTTCTGAGGAACACAAGTTCTTCATCAATGCATTCCGAACTACGAATCATACGCATTCGGTAGTACAAAAAGTAAATAAAATTCATATTTTACTGCTCTACAGGTTTCTTCACAAATATGTAGGGTTTTTGTAGGAACAACATCATACTCATCTAAATGCCGGGAAGGTGTTCGAGCTTCTTAAACAGCACGTTTTCACCGAATGTGTACTGATTACTGCAAATTTCCTGTTTTCGATTCGTTTTAATACAGTAATTACGTTTGATAACCGAATGTACTTGGACACTTTCCTAAAATGTTTATAACCTAGGACGAATTGAATTACCGGATAACTAAGAAATTATCATCATGATGGTCCCTATATTTTATGTTTGTTTAGGATTATTTCGTTGTAAAGAATTGAAGATAAATATGAGCAACAACTAATACTGACAAGTTGAATTTTTATAAAATTAGAATCTCATTTTAATAAAACATATTTTGAGATGAGAATTTTTCAGCATATTCAAACATAATGTATTGAATTGAAACGAATATTATCGGAATGGTTAGCTCAGAAATGTTTATAGAATTTAGGATGAATAAAAATTCATCAGAGTTATAACTGCACTTGCGTACCTAGTTATAGTTCATTTCAGTCTACACTTCATTTATCATTTAAATGATCATCGAAATGGAGCAGATTTGTAATGTTAATAGACTGAATAAATCACGAATAAGTATTGTATCTAAAATGTTAAGAAACTAACTACTATTTATAAAATGTCATCCGTGCGTAGGGAAACTAATGGAAAAGATAAGTATTAAGTACCCATAATTGGTAGCAACCCATTTTTGTGCATCTCAAGTTACTTTTGATAATACTTGATTGCGAGGAGACTAACATTGCAACAACGTTTACACATCATGCACGCAAACTAATTATTTGTGTAGAACGACTTGTTTACTCAAGTATCATAGGTACCCATCTTATCTTACCGTTAGTTGTGTGCGTGTGTGTAGCTGCTAAAGCAGTTGCATTAGTACAACAGGAAAACTTGCCGGTCGTGGAATCTGCAATCGTGTTCCTGAATGTCTGAACTTGGAACCTTCAGTAGTATGAATTCTATGCATCCGAGTGATGTAGGACATCAGATAACATGAAATCATTTGTGTCTAATTCACAAAAGGATAATAATATACTGAAATTCATTGAATCTATTGATACGGAATGCTTCCAATGTTTTTCATGCATCCATCCATGATAAGTTAGTTCTATGGATTTACTGTAGAAGAGCTTTACTATAAAGATCTAGTTAGTTGATTGCTTTCATTTGAAGCAATACTGCAGATTAGTTCTATTATTAATTATTGAATACGGAGGTTCACACTGTACTATTTCCTTTTTAAAAATAGCCATCAGCCGTCTACCTTCTCATTATGAAACTCAACAAGTATCTCTATTTTGCGAAAAACAACATCTTGTAAAGGTGAAAAAGAAATAACTGTACTTGTGTAAATGTTCATATTTGATCAGTGAAGGATAGAATTGAAGTATTCAATACAAATTCAAAATTACACTATATTGTTTAACCTCGATTATCCTATTGTAATCAATAAACATTTCAATAATAATAATATTAATATATTTCTGCAATATTATGGATTTAGTACAACACGGAGTTCTCAGCACGGAATATTTCAGTTTCCTTCACAGCCGACCAACCAACAACTTCATGAATACTTACATAATAGAACTAAGCAAACAAACTCTCTGGCAATAAATTGAAACGTCTTTCTTATATAGTGTGAATCTATAGTTTTTAATTAGAAACATGTTTAAGAATAATTATTCTTGACTAGCTCAGTTCCTACCGCATGTTCATTGCATACTATATTTACTAAACAAGGTAGCTTGTAGCTTTCATACTTTTGCTTGCGTACACGGATTCTAGTGTATTGGCGTCTTGTACTGCCAGAACATGTACAAGCAGAAAATTGTGGATTGTCAGTATCAGATAAGATAACACTTGCCAGTAGCCTGCAAGTTTTTAAATGTTTGTCTACCACCAAATTCATAGTGACTTCAAAAGTCACCACAAACCCTCGTATTTTCCAAAACGCACGAGAAAGAATAATAGGGAACAGTAAAGGATAGTAGGTAACATGTAAGAGTTTACGAAGCATAGAAGCGATTGTTGAGTTGTGCCAAAAGCATGTAGCATCTTTATATAAATGGTCAAACGGGGACATTATTCGATAAAGTAAGACCTTTCTGCTGTTGCACGTCTCTACAGTCAGCAGTACGTTTTCGGCCTCAGAACTTGAGTAGCTGCGTTTACTCTCATCGTTCTCCAATCGACCGGCCTGGCATGGTAGAACCTTAGGAACATATGTTGCAGCCGATATAGGTCAGTTTGGTCATCACGCTAGACAAGCCCGACCACTACATCGAGGTAGAGGCTAAGGTAGAGAAAACATGGCAAGACGAAGTGTAAAACCTTACGTACTTAATTACGCCTGTTATCCCCAGTGGAGCATAGGCTGCCTGCCAGTTTTCTCCAACCTACTCTGTCTTGGGCTCCCTTTTCCAGTTTTTGTTCATTTTTCTCATGTATTTCTCTACTTCTCGGCGCAATGTTTTCCTTGGCCATCCATCCTCTTGTTTTGTGATTCAGTTGGGTCCTTTTCGCAGGGTCTGTCCTATCCACTCCCACCACTTTTTCTCCCACTGGAATCTGGTTTATTCCGTCCCACAGTAAGTTGTTGATGATAGTGTCTGGTCAATGAATCCGAAGTATTTTGCGTAGAAAAATGTTCATAAATACTTGTATCTTCTGGATGATGTCTTTGGTAGTTTTCCAAGTTTCGCCCCATACAGTAGCATTGTCTTGACATTTGTATTGAAAATTGTGACATTGGTGTTGGCTGACAGTCGTTTGGAGTTCCAGATATTATTCAGTTGTGAAAATGCAGCCCTTGCTTTGCCGATCCGCACCCTCACATCTGCATCGGATCCACCTTGGTTGTCGATGATGCTGCCAGGATGTGTAAAGGTGTTAACGTCCTCCAAGACATCTCCATCAAGAGTGATTTGATTGGCGCATGTTGTGTTGTATCGTGGAATTTTGCTTTTCCTTTTATGTATGTTGAGACCTACTGCTGGTACACTGTTCGAGTTTTCTTGCATTTGTTGTTGCGTGTGCGATAGAAGAGCCAGATCGTCCAGCTGCGTCCTAGTTGTCCATTGGATACCGTGCTTCCCTCCAGACGTTGACGTCTTCATAATCCAGTCGATCATCAGGAGAAAGAGAAAGGGTGAGAGTGAGCAACCGTGCCTGACACCGGTCTTCAGCTTGAACGAGTTTGTCAGCTGTCCTCCGTGCACGATTTTGCAGTTGAATCCATCATAAGAATTCCGTATGATGTTGGCTATCTTCTCAGGCACACCAGAGTGTCGAAGAAGCCTCCATAGTGTTTTCCTATCCACGCTATCGAATGCTTTCTTGTAGTCTGAGAAGTTGATCTACAGTGGTGAGTTCCATTCAGCTGATTAATTCACAATGATCCGTAATGTTGCCATTTTGTCGGTAGACGATTGATCCTTGAGAAATCCAACCTGTTGATCTTGAAGTTTGGCGTCTACAAAGTCCTTCATTCTGTTTAACAACACCATGTTGAAGACTTTTCCTGGTATTGAGAGAAGAGTGACGTCTCTGTAGTTCTCACTTTCCGAGATCGCCTTTCTTTGGTATTTTGATGAGGTATCCTTCTTTCCAGTCTGATGGTACTTGTTCTTCATCCCAAATGTTGTTGAGGAGAGTGTACAGTATCTTTGCACTTACTTACACGTCTGCTTCCATGGCCTCAGCTGAAATGTTGTCTGGTCCTGCTGCTTTGCCGCTCTTGATTTGTCTGATGGCCATGCTCATCTCTTCAATTGTAGGTGCGCCAACATCGATAGGGAGGTCCGTAGATGCTGCTTAGATGTTGGGTGGGTTCAGTGGAGCTGGTCGATTCAGGAGTTACTTAAAGTGCTGTACCCACCTTTTTCACTGTTCTTCAGAGTTGCTGATTACTTT